CCTTACTTCATTTTCTCCAGCACCTTGTTGGCGTCACATGTGTCGAAGGTGCGATAGGTGCTCACGGGGAAGTGTTTGTCGCTGGCGCTCACGAAATTGACATCGATGTTGGATGGCCTCTGGCTGCTGCTAGTGGAGTAGCTGGAAGAGCCGGTGAAGGGATCCATATTGCCACTGCCGCCGACATTGCTGCTGCTCGAGCCGGGCACATACCGTGAGCCGCCCGTGAAAGGATCCTGATATCCGCTGTGAATGTAATAAGAACAATCGATATTTATCGACATATTGAAGTAGATATTAAATGAGTTATTTACGCCGTGCTCTGGGTCGCGACGACGGGCGCACTTTCGGAATTCTTGACTATGAAATTGGCCACCTGATCGAGATAGGCCTGGGGTAGATTATTGCGATGGATGAACTGTTGAGCCGCCTGCCAGGGATCCTCGCCGCGATTGTAAGGCAACTTGATGGGCGGCTCCGTGTCGGAGATATCCACGTTGAACACATAATCGTACTCCTTGCCCTCGTGCAGCTTCTTGCCGGAGGTTTCCTGAGTGCCGCCCGTGGCACCGGTCACATCGCCCACCAGAGACCATTTGCCCAGCTCCCAGGAGTAGCACTTGACCGAGCCATCCACATGACGCACCATTTTCGTTTGGCCCTCCCGCGTACCATTGGACAGCAAAGCCTCCGGCCCGGGCAGGCTGAAAAAGGGAAACTCAAATAAGTATACAAGTATTTTGGACATAGTCCTAGGTGCACTTACTCCGTCTTCTTGACACCGCCAATGTCCTCGCTGAGCTGTGCCTTGTGCGTGCTCACCGCCATCTCGAAGCTGGCACGAACACTTTCGGTCGCCTGGCGCGCGGGATCCTGGCTGAAGACACGCACAACGCCATCGCTGCAGCCGGTCACAATGTCCCCATTGCGCAGACAGGCCACGGACCACACCGAAATAGCCGGATGCAGGATGGGCGCGCCCAGCTGGTCGCCGGTAATCACATTCCACATGCGCAGCGTGCTGTCCTCGCCGCAGGAGACGACAATGTGCTCCCCCAGCGCCTGGTTGCGAGCCATCGCATAGATGTAGTTGGTGTGGCCGTTCAGCTCCCGCACACATTCGCCGTCCTCGTTCCAGAAACGGAGCACGGCATCGTTGCCGCACGAGAGTAGCGAATTGGCGGGCAGTGGGATGAGGCCACGCACGCAGTCCGTGTGGCCTTTGAGCAGGCGCAGCTTCTCGCCTCGAGCATTCCAGTAGTAGATGCACTTGTCGGCGCCGCCGGTGATATACTTCTGCTGGGCAGACTCTGTGGCCACGGCCCAGACGGCCGCCTCGTGACCCTGGAGCGTCACAAATGTGACATCGCCCGTTTCGCTGATGAGCCAGACGCGCGCCGTTTTGTCCCAACTGCCGCTGATGATGCTCCGCGCCTGGAGGCCGCCGGCCAGGGCGCACACAGTCGATTCGTGGCCCTTCAGGGTGATCAGCGGCACGAAGGCATCGTGCTGATAGACACAAATGGTGGCATCGTTGCTGGCCGTGCAGATCCACTGCTCGGACTCCAGGTAACAGATGTAGGATATGAAATTCTTGTGGTCCTGCAGGGTGACGCTCTCGATGTACTCGTTGCTGCGATTGCAAGATATTTAAGAATCCAACTAGAAGATTTTTAATTGCATTATCTTTGTCTAGCTACGAACCCGCTGATCGGCTTCCAGAGTTTTGTACTTTTGTCCCGCGAGCCGGACACGATAATCTGACCAGCGCCCTCTGCATTGCCACCGGCAGCAACGGCGCGCACATCCAAGCTGTGGCCCAGCAGCTCGCAGCTAATCTTGTAATGATCCAAAGTGGGCTCCATTTTTGCACTGCTACTGACTTTGCTCTTTTTTTGTCGGCGTTTTTTGCTAATAATATTTGGTGTAGAGGTGGGAGTAACTGTCTATCGATAACATTTAACATTGAGTGATTTGTGCTTTGTATGCAGTGCAGATACAACGGGATATTTGTAAGAATATATGATATGGCATTTTGTTTAAATTAATTGACATGCTAAACCATGCCTTGCTTACAGTTTGTCACTTTAATAGATTTTTTGTTAATATTTTCCTCATTACCATCACTAATACACATTTGAATTTTAAAAAAATTATAATTAGCAGCTATAGACAAATTACATAGAAATTTGAAATATTTAATAGAATTATTTTTAATTAATTTTTTTCTCTCTCAATTAATTTACGGTTAAATAATATGAATACTATTTATAAAATTTCCCTGCTATGCCTATTACAATTTTAAGTGTTAACATTTTGCTCGATAAGTTCTGCTAAGCAGCATACTATTCCTTTCACACTTATGTATTGGCTCTGTTTACGTTAGCATGCCGTAGTTTTACATAAAACATTGTAGAAGAACTTGAAAAACAAACAAAACCGACTATATAATATACAAATATATAAGTGGTATTTCATAGTAATGCAGGCAGCCAGCGCAACTGTCAAGCGCTTCGGCGTGCTGCCCCGTTTATTCCCAGGTCGTCGGCAATTTGCAGCAACAGCTTCCCAATGTGAACCAACAGATCCTCCACAGTCGCCGCCGCCGTCGGCCAGGCTCTCCATGAAGATGAGCGGCTGGCAGCTGCACAATTATGGCGGCATCGAGGAGCTGCAGCTGTCCGACAAGTTGAAGTTGCCTCAAATTCGCAGTTCTGACGAGTGCCTGGTGCGAGTCCGCACCACAGCAGTGAATCCCATTGATCTGGCCATGCTCGGCGGATACGGATCGACACTGCTCAATCAGTTTCGCTGCCAGGCCAACGATGACATCGAATTCCCCTTGACGCTTGGCCGCGAATTCTGCGGCGAGCTGGTGCAGAAAGGCATGGGTGTACGCCATGAACAGCTGCAGCTGGGGACACGGGTATGGGGCGTGGTGCCCATACCAAATAGCAATGGAGCACACGCTGAATACGTTGTGGTGCCGGCATCCTGTGTAAGCATCCCGCTTCATTTATAAGTATAACTGAAAGTAAGCCCCGTCAATCGCTTTTAGCTCGCACCTGCTCCAAAACTCCTGGACGATAGCGAGGCGAGCAGCGTGCTCTATGCTGGCCTGACGGCCTGGTCGGGCATGTATATCACCGGCGGACTGGGTGGTCCTTGCGGTGCCACTACCTCGGCTGGCGGCGGAGCAAACAAACGCGTCTTGGTGCTTGGTGGCAGCGGAAGTGTCGGCTCCCTGGCCATACAAATGCTGAAGTCGCAAGGCGCCCAAGTGCTGGCCACATGCAGTGAGAATGCTGTGGAAATGGTGCGTCAACTGGGCGCCGACTGCGTGGTGGACTACACTAAGCCGGACGCCATGGAGCAGCTCTGTACCTATGCGCCCTACGATATAGTCCTGGACTGCGCCGGTCAGGGCGGACAGGCCGCAGCCGAGTCGCAGTACGACTTTCGACAGTACATCACATTCAGCTCCCCGCTGCTGGCCAACATTGACAAGAAGGGTCTGTGCCTGGGCGCACTGCAGAACGTATCGGATCTGGTGCAGACCAACATGAAGACAGCCACGCAGCGCGGAGGAGTGGTCAAGTGGGGCTACTTTTATCCGGCGGCGCATGGCATTGAGTTTCTCAGTGGACTGGTAGAACGGGGCAAGGTGAGCTATTATTTATTTTCTATTTATTCATTAATATAATTTAAAATTCGATTATTTGTTTACAGCTAATACCGCAAATCGATAGCACTTTTGATTTCAAGGATATGCCGAAGGCTTTCGAGCGACTCAAGTGCGGTCATATGCGTGGTAAAATTGTGGTCAAACTACAGTCTGAGTGATGGGTGATAATTAATTTGTTAAACAAGTAAAATAAAGCTATGAAATTCTTTAAAATGTTGCTAGTTTGCATAATTGAATTAACATTACTCAACAGTTTCGCAGCGGTTACTATAAAGCTATCGATAGTCTCTATGCACTCGATTTCCTCAGTTTAGTTTATCGGCCGGCCTGCAGAGCCCAATTGGTTAGCTCGCTTGCAAATTGCACATTTACGTATTTAATAAACAGAAAATGAATTGGAAAATGTAAATATGAGGCGAGAATTGCAAAATTAAAAAATATTCAAACAAAATGGCATCATAGGTAAAAAAGCTAAGCAACGTGAAGATATTTACTTATATCGACTTCAAATGCTTTGATTTTGTTAATGCTTTTATACTAGTGCCGGTTAACTGTGATAAGTGCTTAATGATAGCTAGTCGAGTTGACAATTTGTTCAAAACAACAAGAAACACAACTTTTTAATTGTTCTTCATCATTTATAAATTATAAATAAACAAGTACATATGCACCGCCGGCAAAAACAGAGAGCGCATTTTTTGAGAGCAGCAAGTGAGAGCGAATTGGCTAGAGTAGTCAGCTGCTTGGAAGTGATTTGTTTGGTACCATTCAAATAAACGTACTTTGACATGATGTTAGCTTAAAATAAATTTGGCAATTCTGTTTCTATGTTTTACTAAAATTTCGCATATTTTACACTATTATTCTATATTCAAGTGACACAAAGAAATTCAAATTATATATTGTACCAAGGTGTTGGCAAGGCGCACACTCGCACGCCCACCAAAGGTACGAAACTTTGGCAATGAAACAGCAACACATGGGCCTCTTCGACTACTCGAACTGGCGAAAGCCGAAGGTACGCACTGCCAAAGAGAAAGAGCGTGGAGAGAGTGAGCGCACGAGAGAAACAATAACAAATATGGTCCAAAACATGCTCATCAACATGCGCGATGCGGGGAAACATGTACCGCAACATTATTAGCCTTTGTGTTTGTTGGAAATGTGTGAGCATGTTGCTAAATATATTTTGTTTGCTTCGAAGGGAGATGAAGATTTTCGGGAAACGTGCTTCTCTCGGCTGCGTAGCAACATGTTGCCCAACATGTAGCTTGTATAGCATGTGTAGCTGCACTCAGTGCCGTTTTACTTTAGAAATGAAACGAAACTCCGGCTGAGTTGTTGTTACGTCGTCGAGAGAGTCGCGTGTTCATGTGTCGCGTTCGCGTTCGCGTTCTGATATGTCCGTTGTTGCCACGGGCTTTGTTTGGTCGCAATGCATCAGCAGCAGCAGCAGCAGTTCTGACTGACTGACTGACAACAGATAAACAAATCGGCAAGCCGCGAAGTGTGTCTGAAAGTGCGTGTCGTTCATTTAAACGGTAAATGGTAGTCCCGTTAATCAATTGCTTTACTTAAAGCATCGTGTTGTTCCGTTGCTTTTTGTGTGCATGTGGCTCTCTGTGTGTGTATGTATTCGTGTGGATGTTTGGGTGCCTGTGTTGCTAAACAATAATAATAAAGTAATCAATTGGCACATGAGCTTCCATAAATTGTGTTTAATTCGAATTACGCTAATATACAAAATATGCATATTAAAGAAAAAGCAGGAATTAAAGCAGAAAGCGCAGAGAATAAAAGCGGCACAAACAAATAATAGAAACATTTTTTGGATATCTTTTTCAGATATTTTTCATTGATTTTTCTACTGGCGCGCCACACACACCGCCACATATTATGAGAGCGAGCGAGAGAGGTGGAGAGAGATAGATTGAAGAATAGAGCAGGGGATAGGAAGAAAGAGCAAGAGAACGTTTTCATGCCGCCTAGTGTTTTGTGCACATTTTGGCATTGGAACACATTGTGGCAGTGTGCCTGTGTGTGTGCGGATTATCCTTTTTTATATATTTTGTTTATTTTCAAGTGCCTGTTTCCATTTTGTTGCGTACATTTTGTGCTGCCCATTCGTTTCGCTGCATTTCATTCTCGCCGCGTTTCAATACAATAAGCATGTGTGAGAGTGCTGGCAGCTGCCCTATGTAAATTTCTCTCTCGTCGGCGTTCGCTCTTGGTCTTGCTCTTGCTCGTCGATTAACCCCCCTTGGTGGCAGAGTTTCATGTTTTCTACTCTGCTTTGCTCGCCTATTCGCATCGTAGCTGGCGCCGCTGTTGACGCTGGCGCCGCGCTCTCTCGCTCTCAGTCTTTCGTCTCTCTTTCTCTCTTTCTGTGCCCATCGTTCGCCTGGCGCTGGCTGCAGTCGTTGTCCTTTGGCCGTGCGTTGCGCGTTGCCAACCAATTTGCCGTGTGTGTTGTCATTGTCATAATAAAAAAATTCCTGCTGTGGCTGCGGTCTCCGCAATTGTTTATGCGTCATTTCGTCAGCAAAATATGAAACATGTCATTGTCATCTTTCCAGTGTCCTGCCGCCGTTACGGCTAATTACGTTAACAGGAGCAAACAACAACAATAAAAAAGGAAAAAATAAATGAAAACAAAAATCTGCAAAGAAAAAAAAACCTAATAAATCGTCATGAGGCTATTGTATTGACAAAACATAAGTGTTGCATACTTTTCGCGTCGCGTGTTACTTATTTAATTATTCGGTTCGTCGTCTATCCCGTACGCCTCCTAACCGTTAATAAATCTCTGATATTCACCTCTATTTCTATCATCTACGTGTGTGTGTGTGCTTGTGTATATTTTATACTGCTCTGTACATATGTACAATATTTGTCGTCATTATCATCATCATCATCATAGTTGTTGTTGTTGTTATTTACTCGGCATTCGTATAAAGTAAAAATATAAATAATTTGTGTTCTTCGGTGTTGTCTCGTGTAAGTGTCTATAATTTGTTAAACTACGACAAGCGATCGGCGAAAAGCAAAACCAAAGGCAATCATAATAACATTTATCGATATCCAATTACGATATGGCAAATGTTCCATTGTGTGCGCATCGATTTGAATGTCAACTGCCTAAGCAATCGTCTCCCCAACAACTCCAACAACGACAAGTACAACAACAACACCAACAGCAAGCAACCGTTCAACAACAAGAAGAAGAGAAGGCTAGAAACGCCTAGCAGCTGAAAATTCTTCAATTTCAATTCCCATTATAACTAACTAAATTCGGGAATTTTACAACAAAAATTGATGAACTCTTGAAAAGGTAAGTCGAAACTGTTTTCATAAACTTGAATAAATCTTTTGTTAAGGTAGTGCAGATTAATATAATATATTTTTGAAAATATACTAAAATAATATAATCATAATACATAATAAATTATAGTAATCAATAAAAAAAAAATTTACTGATTTAAATGATATTAAAATTACGTGCTATTTATAATATAACAGGGTACTCTTCTTTATAATTTCTTACTTTAAAATTTAGTATATATAGATTTTTGTACTTCTCTTTTAACTCTATCATATACAATATTTTTCATAAATTTTTGTCAGCAAATGTATTATTTCTGCTCAGAGATCTTGAGCCTTAAATAAAATTAATAACACTTATATATCGCCTCTTACTTTTCTTCAATTGTTATATTAATATATATATTATTTAGGAAACTTGATGAGATTCGTCTTTTATGATTTCCTTCATAACAAATAGCCCAATTAAATTATCATAACAATAAAAGTCGATGTATATACATGTATGTATGTATATGGGTGTGAAATGAGATTCAACTGAAATGACGGTCAGATGATACGACGTTTTCCATTAAAAGATTAAAAAACAACAAAAATGTTGACAGGCAGCGCATGTCGAACGAGTCTCCCGCTTCTTCGGCGATATCTAAAATGCATTTGCATAGCGGGGCGATCAACTGTGAAATCGGTTAAATAATTTAGACATAAAACCAATCAAAATCACATGCATAATAGATAAAAGATAAGCGAGGCGCTGGTCGCTCGGCAATCAAATGATTGGAATCGTGAAAAAAAAAAAACAAGAACTCTTGTTTTTGCCTGCACCAAACGCTTGAGATACAGATGCATATGCAGATACAGATACAGATACAAATACAGATACGCACTTGGCCTGCGACGGCTTCGAGTTGTATCTGCATCTCTTAATGACATCGCTGGCGGCGTTTGCTTTTGTTACCCACTGTGGCCGCAATGTGCGGGCAGCATGTTGTTGCCTTGTTTACACTTCAAATGGAAAACGCACTGTTCAATACCAGATGCGTGTGCGTGAGTGTGTGTGTGTGCGTGAGTGTGTGTGTGGCAAGCAAAAGATACGAAACGCTGCTGCTTGTTGTTCTCGTTGTCGATGTCTGCAAAATGCATTTGGCTATTTTGGTTAACTACTCTGGCTCTGCCCAGAACGAACAGACGTCCACTCCTAATGAGGCAAAATGCCGTCGTGCGTATCGTGTGACACTAGGCAAATATCGAGACGACTTTCAGAGCCATTACCCAACTCTGGCGTTGCCCTCCCCCTCTCTCGCTCCCTTTATCTTTATCTCTATTTGTATCGCCATCTGGTATCAGCGAGTGTATTTTTTTTCTTTCCATTTTTGTTTTCGGTAAGGACTCAACGTGCCGCAAATAAAGATTGCCTCTTACCCATGCTCTTTATGTTGTTGTACAACGCATTAGCGTTTGACGAAAAGAAAATCAGAAAAAAAAGGAAGAGCAAGTGAGGAAGAGAGAGAGAGAAAGCTAGGCAGGGCATAATATACATCATCAGGAGGACGTCAGCAGCAGAAAACATCACGTCCAGCGTCACATTTGAAATTCCAATATCCTGCATATCTGGCTACGTAGTGGACACACACGCCGCACAATACAGACAGAATACACACACATTCACACACACACACGCTCTTTGTCCAATTAATGAGGCTTTGTTGATAAAATGCACTTAAGTCTGTTTACAGATGATTAGGAACAATTCATGCAACATGAATTCAACTGAATATACATAGCTCTATACATAAGCTGTTCTATGTGCATCTCAAATTGCCTATTCATTTAAGATGGGTCTATGTGTTGGTTTTTGGTCTCTTCAAAAATCACTTTAAGTAAGACTTTTGACACTTAACAGACGATCTCGAGTGGCAGCAAATGTTAAGTGAGCAATGTTAGCTGAAATGTTAAGAATTTAACCAGTTCTTAATTTTTTACTATTTTGATATCAAACTTAAAATATCTTGTTGAAAATATTTTCTGTTCAAACTTTGTTACGAATGTTAAGAAAATTATACCAGATGTTAAGCATTTTTTTCTCTCTTTAATATTTACTTTTTTTAGAATCAAGAAACATAATGGATGATCTTGCGTTGCAAGAAATCGTATACTGGAAATGTTAGCTAAAATGTAAGGACAAGGGTTAACTGTTATGTTAATAGCAAAGTCTGTTAACGTCGAACTGTAATTCTCTTTCTTGGAAATCTCATGAAGAAAATGAAGCATGAGAAACTCTTTATCTTCTGCTTATGGTTCAAGTTCTGGGACTGATCAGGCTTGCTACTGAGTCAGTGAGTCAAGTCAGTCGCTACTTAATGTTGTGATTAACTCATATTAGTTATGCTGGTTTTTCTTTTTATTATTATCTGAATGAATTGCTGTCAGATAATTGCCTCATGTATGACTAGCGCGGGGCAATCCAATGTGCATTGTGCTCTGCCTTTATCTGGCAAGACTTTTGGCATAAACATGGTAACTGTAAAAGCAACGACTGTTGTCTCCTGCAGGGCACCGACTTGCCTCTACTTCTCCTCGAAGCGCGTCTGGGCCTGGCTATGGCCAAGTGCGAGTATCTAAGCTATGTATCTAAGTATAACCAAAGAAGCCCGTATGTTTTGTATTATGTTACACTAATATTTAAGCTGCCTTAAGTAGATACAGCGAAACGCGTTTAAGATATACAAATAGACGAGAGACCGAAAGAGCAGCAAAGAATGAAAAGCGAGGAAAAGCGCTGCACCAACAACAACAACCAACAACAACAAGAACAACAGCGAAAGCAACTGAATGAAAAGTTACATTAAACTTGTGCCTTAGCCTCCTCCTGTGTGTGTTTGTGAGTGTGTGTGTGTGTGTGCGTGTGTGCGGGTGCCCAGTAGGAGGCAAAAGTCGTGAAAGAAGTTATCACTACTCAAGATATATATATATATGTATGCAGTGTATATATATATGCATATAGATACATATACACACACACACACACAAACACACACACATGCCTCTTTAGACTGGCTTTGGCTCGGAACTCGAGCGGGTCTTAGTTTTTATGTGCTATTTGTATAAGTTGTCGGGCGATGCTCTGTTTTTCTATTGATACGCATATCGTTTGCCATTTGCTTGCCACTCCCCCACACCCCCATCGGAGTCGACACAATTTACTTCAATTCAATTTCTACGATTTCATCTTGGCAAAAAGTCGTTGGGCAAACGTTTGTTAGCCACTTGGCCAGCCTAGACAGCCGAAGGAGGTAAAGTTGAACGAAAAGTTGAAAATATCTCAGAGAGGAGAGTTAGAAAGAGTGGGCTAAACTAAGAGATACCCTGTATTATTAAAACTCTATTCACTTTGCTTGAATTTTGCCTTTGTAGTAGAATTATAAATTTTCACACTTGAATATGTACATACTTTAGAGTACGTTTAATACATAATACATACCTACTTTTATGCAGGGCACTTGGAGTGGCTGAAGACACAGTCAACCTGCATCCATGAGATACAGTTGGCTTTAGACCATTTCCATGCATGCTTATGCCTTATAAATTTCAATAAATTCATGAATTATTTTGCATGCTATTAGTAGCTATATCGTTTCAGGCCTGCCTAGCAATCGATACTTCATGTTATTGTTGTTGTTGTTGCTCTTGTTATAATCCCCACTAATACGCAGTACAGTTATGTGGAACTACAATTTATAGGCAGCAGCAACAGCAGCAGCAGCAGCAGCAAAGAAAAAGAATCGATTGGATTTAGTCCGTCTGTCGCTCTCGTGGGCGTTTTTAATCAAGATACACGAGCCTCGACTCCTCGACTCGTCGTTCTAAAATATTATTGTTATTTGCTTATGCAGCTCCACGGCTCTGCAGTTAGTTGTCTGTGCTTGCAGTCTCCGCACAGATAGCACTAGTTCAGCTGAATTTATGTGCCTTATGTGTATCTTTTTTTCTGCCTCTTATTTCAATTACCGAAATGGGTGTGCCCGTTGTTGTAGAGCCAAGATACGCTGCTTCTGCCAAGGTGCAGCATATCAAATTGGCTTGCAATTTTAAAATTAATTCCATTTGGTGCTGGTTGTCTCTCGGTGATATTTAAGAGTTAATTATGTGGGTATTCTATGAACAATTGCTACTATTTTGATATTTTGATTCATTATCAATTCAGGTTCAATGAGTTTTCTTTAATTTAATAATCAATAAAAATATTTTCTTTCCAAGCTTCACATTTTCTAAATTTTTTATTATTTTTAAGCACAAATATTAATTTCTCAGCAACTATTAACTATTGTTTATATACATCTAAATCAAACCAAAAGCCAGATATTGATCAACAATTGCGAGCATTTACCTGAACAACTTCTGTGTATGTGTGTGTCTAAGTGGGAGGTGACGGCGCCTTCATTAGTTTAATTATAATCATTTTTACATGTCGGCGCAACGCAAATGCCAAAAATAAATAACAAAAGCCAATGGCAAAATGGACAATGGGCAGGCGATACTGAAATATGTATATAATAAATAAATATATATACACACATATACTTTTATGTGTGTGTGTGTATCGCTGTTGACCAAATTAAGTTGCAAGTGGCTGACTGACCAAAAATGATTGATTTAATGAGGCTATCATTGACACTCTGAACGACCCCACCCAGACAGCCAGCCAGCCAGCCAGCCAGGCAGCCCAGTCGACCAGCCGTGTTGGCCAGTCCAGCCAGCCAGATTAGGCAGCGAATCGTATTAAAAGGCAAGACCTTGAGTTGGGGACATTTTCGTATGGTAGCGCGTGCCTGGAGTGCCAAAAGAAGAGAAGTTTGGAGAGTGTAGAAAACAGAACTGAAATGTAATTAGATAACAAAAAGTGATATATGTTTAAATATATCAATATATTAGTAATTTATAAGGTATGTAATTATTAGATATTTATGCTAATAATCATAGTAGACTAAAAATGTTTCTCCTTTTCCTTCT